CAGAGACGCAGAGGACAATTCACAGTTCATATTGCCTATACATGTAATATTGTACATGCATTATTCATGAAGAAAATCGGCATTGTCCAGGCATTTTTTTTTCGTGTCACTGGGATATTTTTTTTTAACAGAAAAATATAAGAAATTTAAAAAAAACCCAGCAAATTTCAGTTTCTAAAATAATTTCAACAGTTATATAAATTGGTTTGCTCCGATTTTTATAATTTGTATTGTTCTGTAATGGACTAAGAGAATGAACATCACTCTTCGTTACCTTCATTTCATAAAGAACCGGTCATGGTAGCCAAGTGGTAGGACGTTCATTTCGTGATCGGGAGGCCCGGGTTTGATTCTCGCTCGCCGCGCCGTGTCAAACCTAAGACGTAAACATAGGTAGTGACTGTTTCTTCGCCTAGCGCTCGACATAAGAAGTGAGAGTCAAGGGTCTTTCGGATATGACCTTTACAACGTAGGTCCCGTGTCACAGTAGGCATTGGCACGGTAAAGAACCCTCACTGCTCAATGGTCCTGAGTGCCAAGTATAGGTCTAAATTTAAAGCTCTTCATCGGAATACGGTGACGTCTGTATATGAGTGAAATATTTTGAGTGAATAGTATTCGAGCTCAAATTTCAAACACGTAATGAAACATTACAAAAAAGGAACAGAGCAAACACGGACCTCCAAAACATCAGAGGTGGAATCAGATGCCATGGAGGAGTGAGCATCCCTAGCCGACCGGTCACACCCGCCGTGTGCTCCTTGTCATGTTATGGGGGATCCTTGGACAATTCACTACATGTAAATAATGCCATAACAATGAAAAAAGTCAGTCAGATTTGACTTAATGATAAATTGTTTTTTTCTGACAAGGTCATTGTATCGAACTTACGAAATGATGACTTTAAAGAGACTGCTGATATCCTTGCTTCGTCAACTTGTTTGTCAATAATTAACTTACTTCCCTTTAGAAATTGTTCAGAAGTAGGACATGCTCTTCCGTATCGCATCAATTGAGAGATATAAATCCATTTGCAGGTGACAAAGGTATATTGCTACTTAAGTAAGGGATTAGTTGATGATTGAAAAGTTATTCATCACGTATGTCATCAGCACTGTTGTTAGATAACCATTAAAATTGTATATAACAAAACTCAAAATAAGCTTTAATAAATTCTCTATATGTTATGGATATAAGGATGGATTTTGGTTACATGGAAGAGAAATGTAGGTCATATTCAGTGACAAATTTTTAAATGTATCCAAGGGAAATAATATTTTAGACATGCAGACACAAATTATATACCACCAAATCGATCGAGTCTTTAAGAGATCTTCTAGCTGTATTTATTTAACATCTACCGATTTATAAGGACCAATCTCAATCATATTTTCAAACTTTATGTCGATTAGAAATTGAGTTGTTTGTATAAAGAAATAAATATACTTCTCGTGAGAATAACGCAGTCTGACCCCGAGGATTAAGTTGAGAAGATGGAAACAATGTCCGACTGCTAAACGGCAAACAAGAAATTGGACAGATTCAGCAAAAAAGGGGATTCATTTTTACAAATAAAAGTTCCTCTCAACGTTCGCAGAATAGTTTTTAACGAATTCCTTTACTCAACATACGATGTGCAGACCAGTTCTCTTTGAACAACGAACAAGATAAAAACGGTCTTTGAAATCAGTTTGATTATCGACATCTTGTAAGCTGCTCTAGAGTGAATTATCAACTTTAAAGGCGAACCTTTGCTAGAACTACCACGGCGGTACGATCAAAGGATTAAGGCAGGTATATTCAAATGGGCACTAAAATAGGAGTAGTTCCTCTCCAGAGAATCTATGAAATATTGATCGCTTTTTTACCAGCCCTACACTGCATATCACGAGGCAGTGAACTTTCTTTTCAGTGAATGTACAATATATTGATGTAGGGCGTCATTAATAAGTTTACAATTTTGCAGACGATCGGTCAAGCAACCAAACCCTTTCGTTCCCTCCTGGAATTGAATTCCGACGTCTGCTAATGTGTTACGCTGCCGCTATTGGGGCGGGCAACATCAAACAGAGTTAGTTAAACAAAGTGTGTGATCCACGCCCCTAGAACCTCCTCTGTGAAGATATGAGAAATGAATAGCTCTTGGTTAGTCATAATCCCTTCAAAGTAAAACATTAAACAAATATTTAAAGAGCTGTTAAAGGGCTGGAGAGGTTATACTTAGCCTACAAGTCAGCAGATGAAATAAAACATGGTATTATTAACAGGCAATTTTAGAGGAGTGGATATAGAAATTCTCAGTTACAGAGTGCAGTTCAACAAAACTTGACTAGCTTAAGGTACTCCGATCCTCAGCAAGGAAAGATAACTGTTAAATAAGTTACTTAATTTAAAAGGTCTCAAAATTAAGCTAAGCTTGAAATCGAAATCTTTTCCATGCAACAATTTTCATTCTATGAACCTCAATATGATTCAAGATTTTTCAAAGTCTTAGAAACAGCCTTGTAAAAAAATTGAAATTTGTACCCCATGAAGTACAAAAAATAAATGCATTCTAATAGAAATCGGATATCCTGTAATCTAGTCTTTGATACCCATGCTGTTAGCGTGATATGCAAATAGAAGTGATTTGTGATGTTATATAACCATAGTACATGTATAAACATTTTACACTATGTATTTTAAAATATTAAGTATGAAAAAAATACTTTTTTCTCCAAATGCCTGGATACCTATAATTTTATTGAAAATATATTTCTTGATCAATTTTCAATTAGAATAGCAGGCATAGCAGGTAATCTAATTCGCATTTCCTGAAAATATATTCAAGATTTGATAATTTTCCCTATATAACACAATTAAGTTGAATGATGAAGTTTGAAGAAATACAATGGCTAAAAACATTATTTTGAGAATTCAGACACACATTTGGAATCATTTTTCAATTATCCAGCTCCTTATTTTCAGGACCTGAGGATCGAAGTACCTTAAATAAAATAAACAATGCCAAACTAAATAATATTTTCAATATCCTTTTATTTCTACTGTTGATGAACAGCACCACCATATATTAAAGAACTTGATATAACAACCGTAAAATTGTACCTTATGCATAAAGAATATAATTCTTAAACTGTGTGGAATCAAGTTCATAAATCAAGAATATATATGTATATAATATGTTAAGGGTAAAGCTAATCCACAGACCATGAAAATATGACAGCTTTGCTAAAGAAAAAATATGAATTTTCAATTTAGGCCACCTGTTAAAAATTGTTTGGTTGCCATCTCCCGATTCAAAAATATTGGGTTGGTAGGTAGGTGAGAATTTTTTCTCAGAAAATTTTTAATTCTAATATTTTAATTCTATTTTCCAGAGTACTTAAAAAATAAACAAAATTGCTTCTTGGTGGTTTAAAAATTTTGAGTCTAGCAATTTTTAGCCAGTTGGTCGGAAAAGGGATACCAAACAATTTTCTAAAGATGGCCTTATTAATTGATCTGAATTATTCCAAGTAATCAGTCATTGATCAGTTTTACTCAACATAAATTTTAGAAAAGAGACAGATAAATATGTAAAAATAAGTTTCATATATCTAAATAAAATACTTTGAACATGTATATCACTAGACAAGAAAAATAACATGTAATTTCTTCTTAAGATACTCCAAATATAAATTATCATTTCGTTATTCTTTACTCAAAATAAGGGGAGGGGGTGTCTCACAACCATACATGTTAACTTTAATTGTGATATGTGGGCTAAATGGCACATTTTATTTGGAAAAAGTCAGTTTAATTCACAGGTTGGTTTGATATTTATGTATGCATTGATTAATTTTAAGGGATGTGTCCCTATAGCCAGTTTTCTCTCAAAATTAAAATAACGTACAGTAAGACCTAGCTTTCTCATCATGTATCTTTTGATACAAATAAAAATTTTTTTAACATTAAGATTTGCATATATAAAATAAATATTTACATGCACAAGCATGAAATTGTATGTAAATTAACTTGTAATGTCATTCCTTTGGACCCAACTAATAAATTCATGAACATTGCTCCCTTCTGTTAATGATTCTGTAAAATAGTGTGTTAATCCAAAAATAATCTGTTTACAAAATGATGGGACAATGGATACACAACCACAGAACACCTCATACCAGGAAAATCCAAAAATATCAAAGTTGTTAGGAATACTGAAATATCCCTTTTACATGCAAGGTCTTCGTAACACATGTACAACTTTACAATAAAAAAAAACAAAATAAGCTGATGACAAAAAATTAGGTCCCAAAAGTAAGTGTTAAACTGAAAAGAAAAAATATATATACCATATCTAAAATATAGGAATTAAATAATACAAAAGCATATCTGTTCATGGAATTCATTGAGTTTTCCTGAATAACTAGAGGAATTAAGTTTTATACATAAGCATTAATTTAAGTATTTATGCATATTTGCAAACAAAGGTTGGAACACAAAAACTATAGAAGGACTGGTTATTAAATGGATTTGCTACAGTTGCTATTAAAATGAATGTAGATCTTATGACTCGCTGTTTATATATACAGCTGTATGTAAATGATTCACTGATGAACAGTTGTGGAAAACATATTGTAGAAATAAGAATTGAAGACATATGGAAATAAATGTTCAAAATTTAATTTCCTCTAAATAAGTCGGGATTTTCTCCCAAAGCAACACATCTTTATTTTCTGTTTTGTTTGTAACGGTTGATAATGCTGATTATAACTTCATTAATTAATATGTTTTCATTGGTCATGGAATGCCATTATCATACTCGTGTAAAAATCTATCAATATATCAATATTCTTCACAGATCAACTGTTCAAAAGAAAATATTTAATGCTTAAAAACAATATGGAGATATTAAAATATCAACACACTTTCAAAATAGTAAAGATAAAAGCCATTCTAAAGTGAAACACATCTTAAACATATATGTATATATAAATCTTGTATATATATGTCTCTTAAAGCTTTAGAATAAATACATGTAATATACATACAGTGTTTTGTAAAATGTATAGGGTGAACAATTATGGTAAATAACATGAAACAGAAGGAATGAGTTTAATGGTGGATAAATCACCAATGTTTTAACATAAAAATTGTGTCATGATTGCACATAAGATAGTGAGCTTGATTTTAGTGTATAAATAAAATAGGAAAGTCTTCCAACAAACAGACAGACATTGACAGGAATCCAACATGGACATAGACAGAAACACAATCCAAAGTATAGCCTGACATTAAAGGAAGACCAATGAGCATGAGGAATAAAAACAGAAAGATATACAAATGTTTCATATTACATGACAGAGTATGCATCAGTTACTTCAATATAGATGAAATCATCCATGTTCATGATCCCCCTACACTAATTATGATAAAAATAAACAAAGGAAAACCCAATAAATGGTGATACTTTGCTAACAATCTGTTTGCAGTTTAACATTTTTTGCAAGGCAGAAATTTGTTTTCTGTCATGTCTTTGCTACCTTGATAAGAACTTTCTGCAGATATTATCACAGTCGGATGTTTGTGTAAACATTAATATATCACAATATGTTCATTTTCAACAGCACTAATCCTATGTGACCACATTTCTGCCACTCTCCTCTTCTACAGTGACCCATATAATGTAATTATAAAGACAGCTAGGTTATCTCTATTCCTCTTCTACCCTAAATGGGTCACGGTAACCTAATTATAAAGATATGTAGGTCATCTCTACTCCTCTTCCTCCTCCTCGAATTTAATCTTCCCTGTTTTCCGTAGTAAATGACGGAAGTCTATTTGTGTAACAGAGTTGGGATCTTTTCGTCTGATTCCCTGCTCTAAGTCAAAGTTTGTCTTTTTTAATCGACCTCTGAAGTCTATACCATTACTTAACTCCTGGGCAATATCTCCCGTTCCATTCATCTTGGAGGGTGGAATTACAGACGGCTTCCTGTAATAGTTAATAAACTTATAAGTCTGATGAAATATCAAATACAGCTTAGCTTCTACTGCCAATCATTGGCAGCATTCAAATTAAATAACATACTCAGAAAAAGATTAAATATTTAAAATATGAATGTTTAAAATTTGGGTGGAAATCTGGCTAGAATACTGATAGTATAAACACAGAAAGCAACAAACAAATACAGATTTGTAACTTGAACAGCTAAAAATCCTAAGCTTTTAATTTTAACAACTTATGTTTCAAGCACTAAAAATTCAAGTTACAAAACATTTGACATTAACATTAATGACAATAACAAAGACAGGACTTACAACTGGAACTTGACTTTAGCAAGTGCAGAGGGAGATGGTACACCATTGGGAATACCATTGGATACACCATTGCTGACAGAGGGATTTCCATTTCTCACAGGAATTCCAATGGAAAATGGAGGAGTAACACTGGTAGGGATGGGAGGGGGAGGTTCTGAAGGGGGAGGAGGAATGAAGAAAGTAGGTGGATCCCGCTTCATTGCGGGTGGGGGAGGGGGAGGTGGGGGAGGGGTGGGGGGTCTGGGTAAACCCTCCCTTGGTTCCTCTCCCTCCTGTCTCTGTCGGTGGTTCCAGTGACCAGCTGAACTATTGCTGACTTGTCTCTCTAGAGTCTTGGCCATCTCCTGTTTGTTGCTTTCTTTGTAAAATTCCTCCTTGTAAGATGAGGGGTCTTTGCTGATCTCTGAAGGTGTTGGTCTCAGGCCATTAATAGAACCACTGTCAAGAATAGAAAAAAACATTAAAACATTCAAATCATTAAATGTAATCTACAAGTAAAAGGTAAATACTGTAGATCACTTAATTTTCGTGACACCTTATTTTCGCGAGATAGTCATTGACTCTTTATTAGCGAGACAAAATTTTCACAAATTGTGGTCATTGCTCTATATAATCTTAAGGAATTCTTATATACGCGAGAATGAAAATTTTGTGAGCATACCGTCTCTCGTAATTACGTGAAAATAAAGTCCTCGTAAATAAAAAGTGATTTACAGTACACATTCCTGATTTAATGAATAAAGCAATTCAGATAAAGTACCATTTACTATTATTTGGCTTGCAAGATGATAGGTGGAAATTAATTTGTCAATAAGTTTGGGTAGATTTGATTAAGGGTTTTTGAATGTGTTAGCTATAAAAATACAGTGTACATGTATAACATACAAGACATAGAGTGATAAATGTACTTGATTGAAAAAAAATAGGCCTTTTGCCAACAGTGCTAAATGGAGTACACTGCTAAATGCTAAATGTTTACAGTATTTATGAACCAGTCATTTCTGACTGACTGTGACTAGAAAGCAGAATAGTTAATACATGTACACGTAAAGTGCATTATTCATTACTTAGGAGATGCTAGAAAATAAAATATAATATATATATATTCTTATAGGAAAATGACTGCAAACATCAAGTTTCCTTTGGTAAAAAATTAACAATCCTCATATAGCAATCATTAATTTATGGTCCATCGTGAAAGTTAGTGCACACTACAAAAGCACATGACCACCAAATGATGAAGGGAAACACCATATCCCTAATGTGCAGGAACATTGTCCATCTAATAAATACGAACTTCACGATAGCAAGTACTCCCTTTCACCCTAAATTCTAAGACACCTACTGTGGCTACAGTGTGAATGAAATAAAGTTCCCCTAGATCACAAATTGTTAATATTAAACACACACCACACCACACCACAAAATCAACAGAGTGACACAAGACACTGACTTAGCCAGAATTGCCTCAGCAATACTCCTTGCGGCCCGTGATCTCTCAAATTCCTCCGTCCCTGCTTTGTTCTTTTTGCTATAAACATGAAATACTCCATGAAAACCACTAACAATGTAATTATGAGAATTTGTTTATAAGGATTGTGTTAGGTCCTTACCTTCCCCTCAGACTCTGATCATGGGCCTCAACCAACGGTTTGTCCCAGTCGATGATCTGGTCTTTTGGAACCTCATAAGAACTGTAGGAGGATAATAAAATATTTATAATGCTTAAGTATATTAACAGCAAATGACATCAGGGGTCTAAATGTAATATGTAATTTTTTTCTTATTTTCTTCATCATAACAGGCATAATTCTGCCTCCATCATTTCTGAATCACTGTTTTTGCTAAATTACAAAAGAAATATACATGTTCAGTGTAATTCAAACCGACATTTTAGTGACTGAATGTATTTACAAAGAATGATGACTCCAAATTGACCATGTTTTTTTTTTTATTTTCCAGTGACCTAATGTACAAGTATTTCACTTTCCTTACATGACAGCTGTACATGACAGCTGATAACTAATCACAAGCCAGGATTTTATTGAAATTATCAGTGGTGCACGGATAAAATTCTTTTTCAAACACTGTTTATATGAGGATTTGGGATATTTTGGCTTACCTCTTTATGGAATGTGAAAACTGATCATAGTAGCTGATGTTTTCTGGCTTCATAATCTCTTTCTCCTCCCTAGTAAAATATTTATTTCACTTTATATAAATTTTTATGCCATTCATTCTACTGAAAATTATCGATCATATAATTGGACCAAGGAACCTTAAGAAGTATTTTTTTTGTAAAGCAAAGAAGGCTTGTTATTATTTGAGAACTGTGACCTCTCTGCACTGACTGACCCTCGTTTCCTGAGATGCTCTGGTAACTGAGGCTGGGGGTAGACCTCTGCCTTCACCAACAGTACCGGGCTGTCCTTCCCAACTGAGGACTCCGGGACCTCTTGTCTCTGGCCCTCAACTCTGTTTTGTCTCTGGTCCTCAGCTCTGTCCTGTCTTTGCTCCTCAACTCTGTCCTCTGTGTGAGGACTTCTGTTCTGTTGTGGAGGAGCTTCATTCTGTTCCTCCTCATGAGGATATCCATTTACAACATGACTTGACACTCCATTAATCTGTAAATTTGGCATTCAAAAAATAGTTTCAGCATAAGGCCAGATAAAATTAATCTTTAGATTCTCATCCCCGCCCGCCCCTCTCAAAATGTCCCGCCCCGGCGTTTTTTATTTTGATTTTTGGGTGTTAATAAAGGCATTTTCATGTATTTTTATTCAGTAAGAATTTAGGTGAAGTTTAAGAGTTATCTCCCGTCTGTATTAAAAGTCGCGTGTCGCTATTTATAGCAAAAGAGCCATGTGAAGAATGTAGAAAAATCGGCAATAAAAACAGTTTAAATATGTAAGGAAAAGATTATTTGTCAGTATAGAGAAGGCAGAGAAAAAATAATAGCATAAACACATCTAGATACCATTACTGCCATTCATGAGTAAGTTTTTAAAGATTTTTTAAAACTAAGTTTAAAAAATAGACATGCAAAATGACACCTGGTCAAGTTTAAACGATCTCCAACTGTGTGTGATTTTGATTTGAAAAAAAAAATAAAACATTGTAGGCAGGCTTTAGAGAATGTTTAATGCTAAGAAAATGTTAAATATCAAACCTGTTCAGGTCTAGGTTTTTTTGGTAGGATATTTTATTAGAATATTTTATAGATTTTGGAAATATGACCTATTTTATTGTCGAACATGTCAAGTCTCAAGAACAATCCAATTTTTGAGGAAGGTGGGAATAGTCATGCATACAAAATTTATTGATATCAGAACCCCACCTCATTTTGTTTTGCGTGTGCCGTGCGATAATTTGTTAATTAACAATAAATATCTAATAATTTAAGCAAGAATTTTCTCTAACATATTTAAAAGAATATGAAAAAAATAAAATCTATTCATATTGGCATTAACATAATGAAAAAATGTGTACGGAAAGTCCATGTTTTGTTAATACTTACAATTTAACAATTATAAAAAATAAAAAATAAAATCCGCCCACCCGCCCCAATTTTTTAGCAAATTAGGATGAGAATCTAAAGATTAATTTTACCTGGCCTAAAGTTAACATTTTTATTATCTTCCTAAGGTGAAAATCTGTATTTAAAATAAGATTTGAACTCAGTATGCCGAGTTTCATGTACATGTATTATAAAAGTAGGTAAAAAACAAAGAATTTCTTGATGTGCTGCTTCAAAAGAGAGATAACTCTTAACTTTGCAAATATTATCCAACTTCTATAAATATGTAACTTGTGTTACCTGATCATAGTAGCTGGTCTCTTGTGTTGGCATCACTGTTTTCAGTTCCCTTATCTTCCTCATGTGGTCCAATCTCTCCTCCCCCACATCAGGTGGGGGTTTCTCTAGTGTAGGGGGAGATTTTGGAGGGGGAGGGGCTCTCCTTTTGTGGGGGACAGCATAAATGTCTGTGTCATTAACAGCTTTGACAGGGGATTTAGGAGGTTGTCCTGATGACACATGTACAGGTGAGTTGTTTTTCACCATAATATCATACTTCTCTTTGTTGTACAATTCCACCTTAAAGAAAAATTAACAAATAGCATGAGTCCTTTTGGCTTTGATGGTCAACTGAGTATCATGTGATTTCTCAGGGCTAAAACTGCTAAAACAGAAGTAAAAGAGAGAGAGATAGAGCTTTAATTTTCAAAAGTGTATGTTTTAACAAAACATGATCAAATTACCCCCCCCCCCCCCCCCCCCCCCCCCCCAAACAAAATGATTACAAAATGATTTCACATAAGATAAATACACCTATATGTTCAAAAGTTTTTGACCAATGCATGACAGAGTACAATGGACAGGAACAGAGAGAGTGGAATACCCAAGTCAACTGAACTAAAACATTTAACTCAAGGGCCAAGACATCGTCTCAAGCCACGGTCCGGAGTCCGCATATTGCTCTCTCCTACCCATGGCTGCTTGATCACAGAAAGTGTCGTAATCTTGAATATTTACGCCTCTCTATTGTGACATCATATTCAGTCAGAGGCAAGTTTTGTTTCCATCGCAATTGAAATCAACAACTGACGTCAACAGTATACAAGAAATATTTCCTTTACTGCAAGAGAGTGATAAATATCCTCCGACTATGCTTTACTCGCATTGGTCAAAATTTCAATGAGCTAAAACATTTCAACCACGGCCTCAAGGGCCCGATGGGGACAGGTTATGTGTAATCAAATCTCTATCTATTTACCTGCGTACTGTGACCTAATTACCTGTTGTGTGAAGATGCTGAGTTGAATCTCTTTCTGTGACCTGAATTCCAGCAGTTTCTGGTATTTAGCCCTGGTCTGCCACATTCTGAGGAAGCTCTGTATCACCACCACTGCTCTCACCTTGTCCATCTGTTTCTGAACTTGTAGCTGCTGACTGGCCTGTTTAGCTTTCTTTGAGCGAAAGGCTGCCAAATAGAAACGATCAAGCTTAAAAACATTTTTTATATATCTGGCAGTTAATTTTTAATTGAAACATGGATGAAAGGCTTCTTTTTTAGGAAATTGGTGTCAATCTAAAATGGCTAGAACTTTATTACGAAAAAATGATTAGAAACTTAAAGATTCATTTAAATTCTAAAATGAAAATAAAAGTATTTTTTCAAAACTACATAGCAACTACATAGAAATTATGCTACTGAATAAATACTTTTTTCAAAGAAGAATCAATTAACATTAGAAAGTAAGTCAGTCACACTCGTTTGGCAAAAATAGAACTACATCACTATGTGTCACTAGACTACTTCACCTGATCCTTACCAATCTCTTGATCTTAAAAAGACAGTATGAGAAAATTTATCCTCAGTAACTTATTTTTACAAAATTAAGACAGGGTAAATATAAATCTCAAATTTCTAACGTTCTTTTCGTAAACAAAGGCCATGATTAAAATAATGACCTGATATGAATGGTACAGCACATGGAATTTTTACCACTTTTATGCTAATATATATGCATAGCTTGTTGACTGAAATGTTTGCCAATGTTTGCTCTGTAAACATTTTAAATTTATAATTGAATTCTGAACATTGACAAAATTTTTGTACTAAAATTCATTTGAAATAGACATCAAAATTGAACAACTCATTTAAAACAAAACATTTCTTCTAATTCACAGTTGGGAGAAAATTACAAGTATTAAAAATAATTTGAAACAGAATATAATGTGTTTTTTCCCCAGTGTTGCTGGAATTTCAGAAAATGTAAAGAGCATGTTTAAATCATACAATAAACACACATGCCCATCAAAGAAAAGACAACTCATATTTGACAAGCCTGCTGGTATAGCCATACCGCTGTAGACTCTGGGAGAACTTTGACAACCTTGTTAGTACCCTATCTCTCTGGAATTTAAGACTACTAACACAAGCTTGTTAGTGTATAACCTACCTCTCTGGATTTTGAGTGCACTCTCCTGCTCCTTTTTGGCATTTTTCTGTTTCTGTCTGACAAAGTACCCCCTGAGTCTGGCCTGTATTGTAGTAGCTGCCTTCTTCCTCTCGGCTATCATTGGTTGTACCTTCTTTCTCGCTAGGTAACCCCTGAACACTAAAAATAGAAATTAAAAGGTTGTGATCAAAACTGAAATCATCTTGAGTTCTTTAATATTTTGTCAAAAGAAATAAATGAATAAAAAGCGATAGGAATATTTTAATCATTATTTAAAATTGTTTAATTGCTGCTTGAAAAATGATAAATATGCATCATAATGTATATATATTTTTTTAAACAATGCAATTCAAAGTATATACCTTTCTGTAGTTGAACAGCTGATGTTTTCTGTGCAATATACAATTTTTTATACTCTCTTCTTGCTAAATACATTCTTATACCTGTAAACAATACATCAGAATTTATATCCTATACAAAAAACATTTAAAGCAAATAATTTTTGTGTGCATCATTTCTCTGATCTAAGAAACAAGTAAAGGCTACACAGAAATCTACTCACATGCTTGAATTTTGGTCACGGCCTTCTCTCTCTGCCATTTAAGTCTGTGGTATTGACTGATAGCTAGATATCTGCGGATTGCTGCTTGGATACACGTTATTTTCTTGTTCCTTTCCTCATACATTCTAGCTAATTGTTCTACATGGTAATACTTTAGGAAAACCTGGTAAAATTAGGACAAAATATGATTGTCAATGGGCTTATCTTCTACGTCTTACATTTAAGCTATACTTTGCAGGAATTTATCTGTTTTATCAGGTAAGTTGATTGTGTATGCTTTGATCATCTTTTACTGTATTTTAATACTGATTATCCAAATAAAAATGACATTAGTATTCTGATAGACTATACCTTAGTCTTGCCTAACTGATACAGTGACATATTCAGTCTGTATACCTTAGTTTTTCCTAACTGATACAGTGACATATTCAGTCTGTATAATTATACCTTAGTTTTTCCTAACTGAAACAGTGACATATTCAGTCTGTATACTTTAGTTTTTCCTCACTGATACAGTGACATATTCAGTCTGTATACCTTAGTTTTTCCTAACTGATACAGTGACATATTCAGTCTGTATAATTATACCTTAGTTTTTCCTAACTGATACAGTGACATATTCAGTCTGTATAATTATACCTTAGTTTTTCCTAACTGATACAGTGACATATTCAGTCTGTACACCTTAGTTTTTCCTAACTGATACAGTGACATATTCAGTCTGTATACCTTAGTTTTTCCTAACTGATACAGTGACATATTCAGTCTGTACACCTTAGTTTTTCCTAACTGATAAAGTGACATATTCAGTCTGTACACCTTAGTTTTTCCTAACTGATACAGTGACATATTCAGTCTGTATACCTTAGTTTTTCCTAACTGATACAGTGACATATTCAGTCTGTATACCTTAGTTTTTCCTAACTGATACAGTGACATATTCAGTCTGTATACCTTAGTTTTGCCTAACTGATACAGTGACATATTCAGTCTGTATAATTATACCTTAGTTTTTCCTAACTGATACAGTGACATATTCAGTCTGTATAATTATACCTTAGTTTTTCCTAACTGATACAGTGACATATTCAGTCTGTATACCTTAGTTTTTCCTAACTGATACAGTGACATATTCAGTCTGTATACCTTAGTTTTGCCTAACTGATACAGTGACATATTCAGTCTGTATAATTATACCTTAGTTTTTCCTAACTGATACAGTGACATATTCAGTCTGTATAATTATACTTTAGTTTTTCCTAACTGATACAGTGACATATTCAGTCTGTATACCTTAGTTTTGCCTAACTGATACAGTGACATATTCAGTCTGTATAATTATACCTTAGTTTTTCCTAACTGATACAGTGACATATTCAGTCTGTATAATTATACCTTAGTTTTTCCTAACTGATACAGTGACATATTCAGTCTGTATACCTTAGTTTTTCCTAACTGATACAGTGACATATTCAGTCTGTATACCTTAGTTTTGCCTAACTGATACAGTGACATATTCAGTCTGTATAATTATACCTTAGTTTTTCCTAACTGATACAGTGACATATTCAGTCTGTATACTTTAGTTTTTCCTAACTGATACAGTGACATATTCAGTCTGTATACCTTAGTTTTGCCTAACTGATACAGTGACATATTCAGTCTGTATAATTATACCTTAGTTTTTCCTAACTGATACAGTGACATATTCAGTCTGTATACCTTAGTTTTTCCTAACTGATACAGTGACATATTCAGTCTGTATACCTTAGTTTTGCCTAACTGATACAGTGACATATTCAGTCTGTATAATTATACCTTAGTTTTGCCTAACTGATACAGTGACATATTCAGTCTGTATAATTATACTTTAGTTTTTCCCAACTGATACAGTGACATATTCAGTCTGTATACCTTAGTTTTGCCTAACTGATACAGTGACATATTCAGTCTGTATAATTATACCTTAGTTTTTCCTAACTGATACAGTGACATATTCAGTCTGTATAATTATACCTTAGTTTTTCCTAACTGATACAGTGACATATTCAGTCTGTATACCTTAGTTTTTCCTAACTGATACAGTGACATATTCAGTCTGTATACCTTAGTTTTGCCTAACTGATACAGTGACATATTCAGTCTGTATAATTATACCTTAGTTTTTCCTAACTGATACAGTGACATATTCAGTCTGTATACTTTAGTTTTTCCTAACTGATACAGTGACATATTCAGTCTGTATACCTTAGTTTTGCCTAACTGATACAGTGACATATTCAGTCTGTATACCTTAGTTTTGCCTAACTGATACAGTGACATATTCAGTCTGTATAATTATACCTTAGTTTTTCCTAACTGATACAGTGACATATTCAGTCTGTATAATTATACCTTAGTTTTTCCTAACTGATACAGTGACATATTCAGTCTGTATACCTTAGTTTTTCCTAACTGATACAGTGACATATTCAGTCTGTATACCTTAGTTTTTCCTAACTGATACAGTGACATATTCAGTCTGTATACCTTAGTTTTTCCTAACTGATACAGTGACATATTCAGTCTGTATACCTTAGTTTTGCCTAACTGATACAGTGACATATTCAGTCTGTATACCTTAGTTTTTCCTCACTGATACAGTGACATATTCAGTCTGTACACCTTAGTTTTTCCTAACTGATACAGTGACATATTCATTCTGTATACCTTAGTTTTTCCTAACTGATACAGTGACATATTCAGTCTGTATACCTTAGTTTTTCCTAACTGATACAGTGACATATTCAGTCTGTCCAGCAGAGTGAAGCAGCAGTCCCTGGTATAATCCACCCTCTCATCCCACCTATACGCCAGCATGGAGTACCTGTATGACAAAAGGACGGGTAAGGTAACTTAGACTCATTTACTTAAACATATGTGATTTACCATTCCAATCAAAAGGCTTTCTATTTCTTCTTTACCTTATAATAAATATTATAAAAGAAATAGGGAATGAAAAGGTTTCTAATACATGTACAGTGTATGTGCTTTTTGCTGTACAAAAAACTGACAGTTTATTGATTCAGGATGTCTCTTTAAACTCCATCAATGTACCTTTTAAGGAATTCAGCAAAAGGAATTCTGTGAGAGTATCCCTCCCTCCTGATTCGAGTGGTCTCCAGTACACCAGTATAACGGAGCTGTATTGTCACCTTGTCAGGCTCAAAGTCATCTGGAAGCTTCTGTTCATTAGGACGAATACATCTGAAATACACCCAAAAATAAAACAGCATTAGGAGAAGTAAATTATAGATACAACAACATAATCCTCAAGTTATAGCTCAGTAATGTTCAAGAATGTCTCAGATTTTGATTGGATATTATTCAGAAAAACTCATAAAAGACAAAGATGAAGTCCAAACAATTACCGGACACTGAAACATTACATATACATGACGTAGTATCATACAAAGCATGCAAATGAAGTAGCAAAGACTGATCAAATGGCAAAATTTGTTTTGAAACTTTTTTGAAAATCTTCAAACAAATTCATTATCTTTACCCTGTGGTAGTCATTAGAAAGACCATCTCTTCAGCGAGCATGGGGGATATTTTTCACACAGCACGTTTGCAGATGTCTCTATTTCTATCCGACTGATTGACTTTACCTGAATTGAGTTTTACCCGACTTGATTTAACCTGACTTGGGTTTATCTGATTTGAGTTTTACCTGACTTGGGTTTGCCTGACTTGAGTTAATCTAACTTGGGTTTGTCTGACTTGAGTTTTACCTGACTTGAGTAAATCTGACTTGGGTTTGCCTGACTTTAGTTAACCTGACGGGTTTACCTGACTTGAGTAAATCTGACTTGGGTTTGCCTGACTTGAGTTAACCTGACGGGTTTACCTGACTTGAGTAAATCTGACTTGGGTTTGCTTGACTTGAGTTACCCTGACTTGTGTTTGCCCTACTTGAGTTTACCTGACCTAGGTTTATCTGACTTGATTTATCTGACTTGAGTTTACCTATAAGCTTGAGTTTACCTGACAAAATGGGGAGATCCTGCCACCATCTTTGCCAACAGATCCATCAGAGAGTATCGGAAGTACGTCGCCACAGTCTGCTGAATTTTGGTCATACTTGTGGATCCCGACCCCTACAATTTCAGATTAAATCAATTTCATTTTATGTACATTTAAATATATTGAAAAACAGAAATGGAATTGATATTGGTATTCATCCCCAGTTACTTGTTAGTTGTTGCCCTAACACCTCATGTTCAGTGATACATATTCACTTGCACACTTGTCTGAAGAAGTCTGTATACCAACAGAGAAAGCAGTAAAACATATTAACACTTCACCAAAAATCATTTGTTAGTTAAGGCAATTTCCTACACCCATCTTGGACTGCTTTTGTCTCCAACTCAAATATTGTGTTAAATGTGTGAAAGAAAATACCAATGTCATGTAATCTTGACTAACTTCAATTCCTTCATTAAAATTCATTAAAAAAGAAATAGTTTCCATAGAAAATGAAATTTTCGTAACACATTTTCATCAAGTAAAAAAGTTAAGACTACACTAAACCTACATGTATGTCTAAATCTAGTAAATAGTTATGTAATACGTAGAAAAAGGATTAGAAAAAAATCACAACAGCTCATTAATTCATTACAGTTTTGAAAACACACCATTTAATTTGGAAGAAAATGAAATACGAAAACAAAATTCAAAGAATGAAAGAATTAATAAAGTTTTACTTATGTTTAAAATCTAAATATTAACATGAACACCTCAGGCAATCTAATTAAAATAAGATTTTCCAAATTTGCTACCGCTTCACAAACATCTAACAACATCCCACTTGGGGTCACGTCAAAGCACACTTTAGATTAGCCAATAAAATCGTTACCTCCATAATCTTGGCTTATAGTTCTTTTCACTCCCTAACCTAAACGCCCAAGGAGTTTTGTAGTAAACAAAATATGCATTGCAAAAGCTGTGTTATGTATGAATGTGACTTGCGGGATCTTGTATACATGCATGTAGTTTGTGCTTTTTGGTTTGCGTTATTCACATAAGGATGCCAAACTGACAGGCTATATCAATTTTTACAAAAAATTACTTCGATTCAAAGTTAGACAGTATCAATAATGATGATATGTAGCCATGGAACTAGCTTTAGAATTGTTTACCAAAGCTTGAATCTGATTTGCCAAAATTTTTGTGTTTATTCATAATCAAAATGTCACTCTGATGTGACCCCGAATGGGATGTTATTAGATGGTTGAGAAGCCGGATTTGGAATGTCTAATTTTAATTAGATTGCTCCTCAGGGTGCACATAATTAAATATAAAATGTAGAATTCTAATTTCAGGATCAATTAAATATTGATTATGACCATACTAACCACTAACTTTTGTGGAAATATATATGTATTGAATATTTGTGAGTACCATATAAATTTCATACTATTCACAATGTGACCAAGTGTAGTGTACGTAACAGATTTTGTTGTTTGTTGTTTGTGTAAAATAAATGACTATTTTGTTTTATAACTAACGACAGTGAAGAAAACTTTATTTATAAATCAATTTAACCAATGAAACTTACACCTTTTAAACCTACATATTTTAACACTTCCACAGTGAGGTAGATGTAGTTTTATTGTATGGGTAAAGTTTTTACAGAAATTTGACTTTCAACATGAGTTTGACATGGTCAATAGTGGTTATACCTTCAGATATTCTAGACTACATGCATACATATGAAAAATCAATCTTTTATTCCTATCTAGCCAGGTATTATAATGATTACATGCACAATTTTGATTAGTTTTTGGCTGTACATATATCAGCCCAGGCAATACTTTATATCATAATATAAAAATAAAGTTTCTCAAGTTTTTTTTTTTCTAATTTTAATACACTTACTGCCATCAAAAAAATAGCTTAGTTTTATTTTTTATAATAGCATCTGAATTTTTAAATCAAATATTAAGTACATGTTTGCATGCAAGGTTTTAATAATTAATTAAATACGTCTATTTAAGAAAACTGAAATTGACTAAAAACTGACTAAAACCTAACACTGCATATTGATATAGTTAAACACATAGGCTTTAACATTCTTCATATTAGTTAGCAAATGAATGTTGGATGATGATATATAAAATGCAAAACACTTAAAACTGAGAATTTGTACTAAAGCTCATAGGTCAATACATTACAGTACTGTTAAGTGCTAAGTTTGATGTGGCAAAAACGAAATCAAGATGACAAGTTTACATGGATGTTTGAATGGCAAGGTGACAATGCCATTACTTACAAGAGCACCATAGATCTGCAAAAATAGTGTGTCAAAATTCAAGCTAAATATCATGACAGTGGGCTAAAAATGACGAGAAAAAAATGATACGAAATTATATTACATGTAAGGGATCACTGGATCTTAAATGATTTGAAATAAACTGGGATACAGGAAAATCTAAGCTTCAGTAAGAAATCTTCTTTTTTACTTTTAAGACACCCAATAATCAATAATATGGCACTATTTTAATTTTTTTCTTAGCATTTGTCTTAACTCTGATAATCAATATCTATAGTTACTGTACAAGCTATAAATTTTTTTTTTATTGAAAAAAAACAACAAGTTATCTGGGATTCTATAAATCTTACTCTATGTACTCAAAATAAAGTGGTAGCAATTGGTGAACTAACACAGAACTGTGACCATTTACCAAGGTAGGGGTTCAATGGACAGCACTCCAAAATCTAACAAATTTAACTTAACACTGGGAATTTCATGCTTTGTTCTGATTGGTGGATATCTTACCCGGCTCCCTCCCATGCTGGAGGATTTAGAGTTGTACGACATGATGGTGATTGGGCCGGCACTCCCTGGGGATCCCGCCGTACTGCTGGGGGTCTGGCGACTAGACCGGATGCTGCCGTCAGCTAGGTTTCCTGTAATTAACATTAAAAATACACATTTCAAACTACTTAGAAATCATTATTAAGGGTACCTTTTTAAAAGAAGCTTACACTTATTTGTATTAAAGAATTACTAAGGAAAATTGTCAGCAAGAAAAACTCCTCTAAGTCAGTGATTTATTGAATGAGAGAACTTTTCTTTGTCTGAGGTGTCCTGCATGGGTTACCTATCTTTGTCAGTGTGTTAAATGTCTTTGTCAGTGGGCTACCTCACTTTGTCAGACAAGCGAGTTAACTGTCTTTGTCTGTAAGTTACCTCTTCGTCAATGAAGTACAAGTCTTTGTCAGTGATTGAGTTACTTGTCTTTTTCACAGAGTTACCTGTATACTTTGTCAGTGAGTTACCTGTCATTGTCAATGAGTTACCTGTCTTTGTCAGTGTGTTACCTGTCTTTGTTAGTGATGGAGTTATCTGTCTTTGTCAGTGAGTTACCTGTCTTTGTCAGTGAGTTACCTGTCTTTGTCTGTGTGTTACCTGTCTTTGTCTGTGAGTTACCTGTCTTTGTCAGTGAGTTACCTGTCTTTGTCTGTGAGTTACCTGTCTTTGTCAGTGTGTTACCTGTCTTTGTCGGTGATGGAGTTACCTGTCTTGTTAATGGAGTTACCTGACTTTGTCAGTGGGTAACTGTATTTGTATAACCTTATATTTGCCAGTGAGTTACCTGTCTTTGTCAGTGATAGAGTTATCTGTCTTTGTCAGTGAGTTATCTGTCTTTGTCAGTGAGTTACCTGTCTTTTTCAGTGAGTTACCTTCTTTGTCAGTGAGTTACCTGTCTTTTTCAGTGGGTTACCTGTCTTTGTCAGTGTTTTACCTGTCTTTGTCGGTGATGGAGTTACCTGTCTTGTTAACGGAGTTACCTGTCTTCTTTGTCAGTGAGTTACCTGTCTTTGTCAGCAGGTTACCTGTCTTTGTCAGTGAGTTACCTGTCTACATCAGTGGGTTACCTGTCTATGTCAGTAATTTACCTGTATTGTAAGAAAGCTACATTTCTCAGTCACTGGATTAAATGACTTTGTTAGTGGGTAACTGTATTTGTACAACCTTATATTTGCCAGGATTTACCATTTGCCAGTGGTGTACTATAGATACCTGTCTTTGTCTGTGTGTTACATGTATTTGTTACTGAGTAACTTCTCTTTGTTCATAACTTGTTAGTTACCTGTCTATGTCTGTCAGTTACCTGTCTTTGTCAGTGAGTTACCTGTCTTTGTCAGTGGGTTACCTGTCTTTGTCAGTGAGTTACCTGTCTTTGTCAGTGAGTTACCTGTCTTTGTCAGTGAGCTACCTGTCTTTGTCAGTGAGTTACCTGTCTTTGTCAGTGAGTTACCTGTCTTTGTCAGTGAGTTACCTGTCTTTGTCAGTGAGTTACCTGTCTTTGTCAGTGAGTTACCTGTCTATGTCAATGAGTTATCTGTGTATGTCATTGAGTAACCTGTCTTTGTCAGTGAGTAACCTGTCTATGTCAGTGAGTGACCTGTCTCTGTCAGTGAGTTACCTGTCTTTGTCAGTGGGTTACCTGTCTTTGTCAGTGAGTTACCTGTCTTTGTCAGTGAGTTACCTGTCTTTGTCAGTGAGTTATCTGTCTTTGTCAGTGAGTTACCTGTCTTTGTCAGTGGGTTACCTGTCTTTCAGTGAGTTACCTGTCTTTGTCAGTGAGTTACCTGTCTTTGGCAGTGTGTTACCTGTCTTTGTCAGTGAGTTACCTGTCTTTGTCAGTGAGTTACCTGTCTATGTCAATGAGTTATCTGTGTATGTCATTGAGTAACCTGTCTTTGTCAGTGAGTAACCTGTCTATGTCAGTGAGTGACCTGTCTTTTTCAGTGAGTTACCTGTCTTTGTCAGTGGGTTACCTGTCTTTCAGTGAGTTACCTGTCTTTGTCAGTGAGTTACCTGTCTTTGTCTGTGTGTTACCTGTCTTTGTCTGTGAGTTACCTGTCTTTGTCAGTGTGTTATCTGTCTTTGTCTGGGAGTTACCTGTCTTTGTCTGTGAGTTACCTGTCTTTGTCAGTGAGTTACCTGTCTTTGTCAGTGTGTTACCTGTCTTTGTCAGTGGGTTACCTGTCTTTCAGTGAGTTACCTGTCTATGTCAATGAGTTACCTGTCTTTGTCAGTGGGTTACCTGTCTTTGTCAGTGTGTTACCTGTCTGTCAGTGAGTTACCTGTCTTTGTCAGTGGGTTACCTGTCTTTGTCAGTGAGTTACCTGTCTTTGTCAGTGAATTACCTGTCTTTGTCAGTGAGTTACCTGTCTTTGTCAGTGAGCTACCTGTCTTTGTCAGTGGGTTACCTGTCTCTGTCAGTGGGTTACCTGTCTCTGTCAGTGGGTTACCTGTCTCTGTCAGTGAGTTACCTGTCTCTGTCAGTGTGTTACCTGTCTTTGTCAGTGGGTTACCTGTCTCTGTCAGTGAGTTACCTGTCTTTGTCAGTGAGTTACCTGTCTTTGTCAGTGAGTTACCTGTCTATGTCTGTCAGTTACCTGTCTTTGTCAGTGAGTTACCTGTCTTTGTCAGTGGGTTACCTGTCTTTGTCAGTGAGTTACCTGTCTTTGTCAGTGAGTTACCTGTCTATGTCAATGAGTTATCTGTGTATGTCATTGAGTAACCTGTCTTTGTCAGTGAGTAACCTGTCTATGTCAGTGAGTGACCTGTCTTTTTCAGTGAGTTACCTGTCTTTGTCAGTGGGTTACCTGTCTTTCAGTGAGTTACCTGTCTTTGTCAGTGAGTTACCTGTCTTTGTCAGTGAGTTACCTGTCTTTGTCAGTGAGTTACCTGTCTTTGTCAGTGAGTAACCTGTCTTTGTCAGTGGGTTACCTGTCTTTCAGTGAGTTACCTGTCTTTGTCAGTGAGTTACCTGTCTTTGTCAGTGATAGAGTTATCTGTCTTTGTTAGTGTGTTACCTGTCTTTGTCAGTGAGTTACCTGTATACTTTGTCAGTGAGTTACCTGTCATTGTCAATGAGTTACCTGTCTTTGTCAGTGGGTTACCTGTCTTTGTCAGTGATAGAGTTATCTGTCTTTGTTAGTGAGTTACCTGTCTTTGTCAGTGAGTTACCTGTCTTTGTCAGTGGGTTACCTGTCTTTGTCAGTGGGTTACCTGTCTTTCAGTGAGTTACCTGTCTTTGTCAGTGAGTTACCTGTCTTTGTCAGTGGGTTACCTGTCTTTGTCAGTGAGTTACCTGTCTTCAGTGAGTTACCTGTCTTTGTCAGTGAGTTACCTGTCTTTGTCAGTGAGTTACCTGTCTTTGTCAGTGGGTTACCTGTCTTTGTCAGTGAGTTACCTGTCTTTGTCAGTGGGTTACCTGTCTTTGTCAGTGAGTTACCTGTCTTTGTCAGTGAGTTACCTGTCTTTGTCAGTGAGTTACCTGTCTTTGGCAGTGTGTTACCTGTCTTTGTCAGTGAGTTACCTGTCTTTGGCAGTGTGTTACCTGTCTTTGTCAGTGAGTTACCTGTCTTTGTCAGTGTGTTACCTGTCTTTGTCAGTGAGTTACCTGTCTTTGTCAGTGAGTTACCTGTCTTTGTCTGTGTGTTACCTGTCTTTGTCTGTGAGTTACCTGTCTTTGTCAGTGGGTCACCTGTCTTTGTCAGTGGGTTACCTGTCTTTCAGTGAGTTACCTGTCTATGTCAATGAGTTATCTGTGTATGTCATTGAGTAACCTGTCTTTGTCAGTGAGTTACCTGTCTTTGTCAGTGGGTTACCTGTCTTTGTCAGTGAGTTACCTGTCTTTGTCAGTGAGTTACCTGTCTTTGTCAGTGAGTTACCTGTCTTTCAGTGTGTTACCTGTCTTTCAGTGAGTTACCTGTCTTTGTCAGTGAGTTACCTGTCTTTGTCAGTGAGTTACCTGTCTTTGTCAGTGAGTTACCTGTCTTTGGCAGTGTGTTACCTGTCTTTGTCAGTGGGTTACCTGTCTTTGTCAGTGGGTTACCTGTCTTTCAGTGAGTTACCTGTCTACTTTGTCAGTGAGTTACCTATCTTGGTCAGTGGGTTACCTGTTTCTGTCAGTGGTGGAGTTACCTCAGTACATCGGTGGGTTACCTGTCTCTGTCAGTAATTTACCTGTACTGTAAGAAAGTTACATTTCTCTGTCACTGCATTAAATGACATTGTCAGTATTTGTATAACCTTATATTTGCCAGGATTTACCATTTACCAGTGGTGTACTATAGATATCTGTCTTTGTCTGTGTGTTATATGTATTTGTTACTGAGTAACTTCTCTCTGTTCATAACTTGTTAGTTACCTGTCTTTGTCTGTCAGTTACCTGTTTTTGTCAGTCAGTTACCTGTCTTTGTCAGTGGTGTGCTGTTTGAGTTACCTGTCTTTGTCAGTGGTGTGCTGAAGAGAGATCGTATCACTACATTCCCTGAGGCTCGTAACATGCTGACGACATCACCAGGGAGACGATCACGATTCTTCTCCAAAAACCCCAGGGCATCATACACTACCTGGATAAATCATTAGGTTTATTAGGAATTCAAATCACATATTACGCAAAATAAAGTGTTATTCAAAGTATATCAAATATTTCTTCTCAGATTTCTCTGATTTTTATGCGCCCGGATTGATAGATCCCGGGCGTATATTGTTTTTGTCCTGTCTGTTTGTCTGTTTATCTGTTTGTCTGTTTGTCTGTCTGTCTGTTGTCAACTTTAACCCTGGCCATAACTTTTGAACAATAAGAGATAGAGACTTCATATTTGGTATGCATACTCCAGTAATAAAGTCCTTTCAAATGACATCAAGGTCAATGACCTTGTGACCTTGACTGTGACCTATATGCTAAAAATAGCTTTTTCCACTGTTTGTCATAACTTTTTAACCATAGGAGATAGGGACTTCATATTTGGTATGCATACTCCACTAATAGAATCCTTTCAAATGATATCAAGGTCAATGATCTTGTGACCTTGACTGTGACCTATATGCTAAAAATAGCTTTTTACACTTTTTGCCATAACTTTTTAACCATAGGAGATAGGAACTTCATATTTGGTATGCATACTCCATCGATAAAGTCCTTTCAAACGACGGCAAGGTCAATGATCTTGTGATCTTGACTGTGACCTATATGCTAAAAATAGCTCTTTACACTTTTTGCCATAACTTTTGAACCATAGGAGATAGGGACTTCATATTTAGTATGCATACTCCACTGATTAAGTTCTTTCGAATGACACCATGGTCAATGACCTTGTGACCTTGACTGTGATCAATATGCTAAAAATAGATTTTTTGAACTTTGTTGCCGCCGGGCGCATAGTGTTTCACAAACACATCTTGTTTAGATTTTTATTTGGCGCACATCACAGTATTTAATGACTGAGACTCAGTGTAAGAATTTTAGATTACTTACTGTGCCTGCATAGTGGTCAATGGAAAAGGTGAGGTTGTTCCCCTTTGGTCTGCTGTAGTTATTGTTCTGGATATTCTTGTGAAATTTTTCTGAATAACATCAATATCAATTGTTAATTTAAATGTTCAACTCTGTAATAATTTTGCTTTGGATTAACAGTCTGAAATAAAAGAAGAGAGTCACTTTATAACCACAATCTGTATTCAGACAAGTTTTTTTTTTACATCCTACCAGACTCTGCAAGCTGTCTGTTTTGATGAATGTTTGACCTTACCTACAAGTGACATGTCTGTGGCCTTGGGGAAGTGACTTTCCTCATCCAGCAGGGCCAGTAACCCCATCGGCTTCATCAGGAACATGTCCAGTAGTGGTCTGTTGTCCACAAACGAAATGTCCACCCCCTCCAAGCCCTCAGCTCTGTACTCTTGCTGAAGTAAAAAAAATTAATATGAATCCATTCTCAATGACTTTACCTCTCATCAGAGGAAAATCTGAAGAAATATATTGCATATAAATATTATTTCTAATGCAACAATGAATGTTATATTTACCATTTCCCATGCAAAGATATGCTGATTAAAGTAATATTGGATTTGTTCATTAGCAATATTGATCAGAAGTTGTTCAAAGGAGTTCTTGGGAAAGTTTTCAAATCCGAAAATATCCAGAAGTCCTATTATCAGGTTATTGTCTTCTCTGGAAAAAGGAAAGAGTTAAAAGTTATTAGGCATTTATTTTGACATAAGAGGAGAGTCCAGTATTATAAAGATGTAATTAGAAAAAGAGATCAAAGATCCATTATTTTTTAAAATATAATGTATTTTTTGTAAACAAACATCATGACTTTGAAAAATATAATAGATAATACTGAAAGATATTGTACACTGTAAGATAAAGTATAGTTTACGTAATCAGATATTTAATTCCATTAGAGGTTAGCACACTAAATATAAAGCTAAGAGCAGCTTACTTTCCCATGGTGCTTGGTTTCAGAAGACTATTAATTCTGTTGACAATCCAGCTGAAGAGACGTCCATACAGTGCCTTAGCCATGGCATCCCGAGCATCGATCGCCTCGGGAACGGAATTATCCCTGACAATTAACTCTCCCCTGGCCACCATGCCAGTGGTTGTCAAGGACTCCACAAGGTCTACAGCAGGAATTCCAAGTAATCGGGAGACTGTTCAGTAGAAATAGGAGCATTCAGTTCACAATATTGCAATCCAGAAACACAAAATTTTATCAAGGACTAACAAAACTTTTCAAACCTTCTCTCTCAATATTCAGTATACTGCTTTATTTTAGCTAAATGGCAGCTCCATGCTTATGTTAATAATGCACATTTTGTCTGCTAGTTGACCAGGAGCGAAGAATGTTATTGAGGATGGCATAAGTTTTGATGGTTTCAGACCCTATCCTTTAGGCCCCAATAAAAAAGCAACAAAGCATAATCTTTGTTTCCCTTTACCGGTAAATGCTATGCAAGAAAATCAGTAGAAATTGGACCTGTCATCTTCAAAAATTGATTGAAAATGTTAAAGTCTTAAGACAAAGGGAGATGGATGGGAGTAGAAAGCACCAGGTCACTTGGGTGACTCGAGTGACCTAAATCAGAATTACATGTAGGGATTATTATAAGTTTGAGAGCTGACTTACTAGTATTGACGAGTTCCATATTGGTGATAACACAGCTGTCTCCTTTATGGTCTGTGTTCTCCTTCTCCTCAAACTCTATGTTACCTGTATGTAATATTGCACAGATAACGCTGTACACTGCCTTCACCTCCTACAAGTTTCAATAAATACTCCATTTACAATATTATGCTCCAAAATCTAACTTATCAATAAATTAAAAACCTTTTGACCATTTCTAGAAGTGTCCAAAACAACACTAATTACTTGTCAGTATTAGATGAAATTTGACAATTGATATTAAAAAGCATCACCAAAAAGTTTTTAAAAATAAATTCCCTAAATACGAATGGACAAATAAAATATTGCTATCAATATACATGTACATGTTTATGTTTAAAGACAGGCATATAAATCATCTAGAGAAATAACTACAAGTTCTCAAGTACCTCTGGTTTGAATCCAATGATGTCAAAGCAATGTTGTATGGCCTTGAACTTGACCCTGTTTACTGAGATAGAGGAGACATCTGGTGGCTGGCTGGTGTATTCATCAATATATCTACAATATATGCATTTATATTTAAAACCAACTCCCCAAAAATGTTTCCATCACTTGGATTAATAAAAATACTCAACAACTACAGCAACTATGATCTTTTCAAGAAAGATCTTAAAAAGGTGACCTTGACCTTATATACTCCTGTATCAAAGCAAGAATTTTGTATGAAAAACTTTGAAACTAAAAACTTTAAAAGCCCTGTTGAAAAATAGTTCTACAATTTCTGACTGGATTTTAATGACTTTCAATGTATCAGGATGAACTATTCAGTTGATTACTTGTATCTTGTATTTTCTTTCAGGTTATACTCTGCCCTCTCAGAGGAACTCAGTCCATCATAGATATAGTAGAACACATGGAAATTCTGCTCCTTCCTGTAATACATGTAAACATAGGAATTTAACCTCAACTTACAAGTTATGCATATACAGCAATAAAAATTCAAACTGCTATGTGAAATAAAAAAAGTGAGACAAACTTACACTGCTTGTGAAATAACTCTCGACTTTTCTAAGAGGTATTCTGTGATTTTGGCTGCAAATAAAATAATGAAGAAATGTAAAATAATAAAAAATCTAAAGCTATAAAAATGTTTTTTATTACAATTTTCGGATTAAAATACTTGTTGCAAAGTCTGATAATTAACATACCCCCAATAACCATCCCGTTTCGAGTGAAGAACATTTCTAGGTATTTCCCAAATCGACTGGAGTTGTCATTGATTACAGTTCTGGCATTACCAAAGGCTTCCATCAGGGGATTGACCTGCAGGATTCGGTCCTCAAGGTTTCTGTTGGCTGCCTGATTACAATAGAAGAATCAGTTAGATACTTGCAGTGAAGTGTAAATAGGAAATACTTAAGTTTACATATTTTAATACTTCATAATACTTAAAATAGTCCAATGTTTTGTGTACATGCACTTGCAATTTTTGTTAAATATTTCATTAAATTGTCATAATAACAGTTTATATTACCCAAATGTTCCATCTATAACCTATAACTTAGATTTGATTATTTGGTGAACAATATTAGCACTATCTTTTACACTTTAATATATTCTATTCTATTCCTTGACCAGTATAGGTCTGTTCCTACCTTGCCGAGCTGTGTCAGCTGCTGGACCAATAAATTAGCACTCTCAGTTTTACCAGCCCCTGATTCCCCACTGATAACAATACACTGCAGCAAAGAGAAAACAATTTTAGTTTAAAATGGTCTCAATGAAAGATCTCTCTATATCTCCCAGACCAAAGCTAAGTACATGAAGAAGACTACACACTCAATATAGGTAATCTTAATACCTGGTTCTTCCTATTATGCATCAAACTCTGGTAGGACTGATCAGCAACTGCAAAAATATGGGGAGGGTTGTCTTCCTTGCCCGCATTCATGTACCTCTTGGAGTACTAGAAAGAGTGATATTTCTCATGAACATCAACCATATCACAAAATAATTTTTTAATACAAATACACATAAGAATTTTTCCAAAAAAAAAATCACTAGGATTATCATTCTATTCACTTAACATTTTGAGATTTCAATGAAAACATTAGAAACCAATGATTTAGGCAATGTTTCGGTCTATCTGACTTGCAATTACAAAACAGATAGTGTATAATAGAGCAGTTTCCCTCACCTCTTCTGTATAAATGGTCAGTGGTCTGAAGGGGTTGACCGCCAGCAGTATGTCCCCTATGTATGTGTAGATCTGACCTTGACTGTAACGACACTCCAGCTGGGATACAATTGTCTCCTAAAAAATTTAAACAAAAAAGTCTATAAAAGGCTTTATATTCCAATATACATATATGTCATTGCTGGAATATATTTTCTGTAAAACTATAATTATCAAAACACAGGAATGGAGACTTTAATCGCCACACTCACCTCATCCAGATTCTCCAGAGTAGCTAAATCATCACTCGTTTTTATGTTCCCTTTCCGAGATTTGCGTCTGGATTTCAGTTTTCCTTTTTTGGCTGTTATTTCAGGCTCATGTATAGTTGTCTCCATTTTAGAAGTCAGTTCCCTCAGTCTTCTTTGAAACTGTTTCCAAGCAACAAATAAAATTCATGTACTATTAATGTTCAATGTTTTGTAGCTGCATTGATATGGAATTTACTTTACAAGTGAGACAGGGTCTTTTTTTTATATCTTCAAGAGTGCAAAGCACAAGTGAAAATAAAAAATGTCCTTTCTCAAGCATTAAGTGTATTCACTTCTTCTACTTTACTGGCTTTATTATGGAAACCAAAGATAGGCAGCTAAACCCCTTACCTGTATATTTTGAAATCAAGGCTAGCTGTGCATTTCTGAGAAATATCTTTGGGTGTATAGTTTTGTAATTAATGGATGCTGTACTTACCTGTGAATTATCTTTGGGAATTTTTGTAATTAATGGATGCTGTACTTACTTGAGAAATATCTTTGGGTAGGTTTGTAATTACCGGTAATGGATACTGTGCTCACCTGTGAAATATCTTTGGGTAGTTTTGTAATTAATGGATGCTGAAGAAGATCCTGGGCAAATGGACGGGCTTCAAAATCTTTGATCAGACACCTGAAATAAAAAATCTCACCCTTAGTAGTAACAATACAGACTCAAGATTATAGTCCACTGATAAAACTGCAGGTAGACAGTGGGGCACTACAAGTAGTTTTAATGTGTGAATCTACAGACTAATTGTCTTTGATTTTCAGCTTATCACATTTTAACTGTGGGACAATAGCCCTTATTTAGTTCTTGAAGTATCAAAGTAAGACTGGTCATTAAATGTAACTCCTTGGTCAAATAAAATTCCCATCACACAATAAGCAACTGCTCACTGATCCAATATTGGCAGCAGAATACACATCTTGGATAATCTATAAATTTTATTTCTCAATTCATTAAATATCTGAATGCTCAAAGTACAAGAAAACTCACTTATAACAAACTTATTCAGATCATGAAAGTGACATGCAATAACTAATTTTTATCAAACTATACATTTTGTTATTAGACTTTCTGTTGATTTATACTTTACAGCTGATGAAAATCCCTCATTATAACAATGGATAGCTATAATAATTTTGATGGCAAACAATCCTGAATGTCCCAGGCCTTCATTAATGTTTCCGTATTACAGTGATTCAGAATATTACAGTACAGTCTATATTACAATGCTAACAATTGTATAAAAATACTAGTCCCCTACTGGTAAGTGTAATTTTGTTCCAATTAAAAATTAAAAAGGTCATATTTTCCTAAAAAAAAAAATCACTGAAGCAAAACAAAAGTAAAATTTGCTCTGTAACCTATCGAGATACATTAATTTATTTCAAAAATCATTGCAAAATCTGCAAGTGTTCAGAAAAAGTACAAAAAAACCAAGTAGGACAGACAGACAGACAAAGGGGCATCTAGATGGACAGACAGACAGCTATACAGACAGACAGGCACAGAAGAAGCCTATTGTCCCCTCCTGTTTCACTGGTAGGGTACTAAAACATCTATGTTAGATGTTAACTAATTTCAAACTCTTATATATGAAACAGGAAGGGAGAAAATGTATGGCTGGACCGGAAATTGAACCGGGACCCCTGTATCTCCAGTCAGGTGCTCTACCAACTGAGCTATCCAGGTCAACATCCACAGCCCAAACCATTACATTCCTCCCTCCTTAAATAGTCTTCGCCCTCGAAGACACAACCCAAGTTCTTATTGCCCCTGGCAGGACTTTCACCTGCAATTCTAGGGGTGATCAATGGCACCAAATCTGTAACAGGAAAGGAGAAAATGTATGGCTGGACCAGGAATCGAACCTGGGACCCCTGCATCACCAGTCATGTACTCTACCAACTGAGCTATCCAGGCCAATATACACGGCCCAAACCATTACATATACATGCACTTTTTTCCAACTTCATAAATTATTTCTTTTAATTCAAAAGTACAATTATAGGCAATGCCTGAACATATTTTTAAAAAAAAAAACATTCTTCAGAATACAGTAAAGGCTAAATTCAAATCAAATAAACTTGAAACTTTTACAGCAATAAAATTCAATGTCATATGATATAAATCTTATCATTAAATAAGCAATAGTCTGATTTATTGCTTCTCTGGTTCATGTATAGTCTCTAATAAAATGAGTTCTGTACATTACTTACTGTGCGATAAAGTCTTTGAAATCGTCGGACCATTGATCGGGATTTACCAGCTGAGGCTGTGGATTCCTGAAGGAAGAAATTAAAAATAAAAATCACTACGGAGGTAAATCAGAGGGAAATCGAAGGCATGTATACAGCCATCAAAGGAAGAAATTCCACATAACCTACCAGGAGAATTCTGATTTATTGCATGCAGAATAAGCATAATATATAGCTCTTCATCATATCGAAAATCAAAGTCTGTTTCCTAATAACTAGATCATTGCCTTATCTCATTATAACCACACCAAAGAACATATATATGTACTCATCTAATAAGATTATTGGAAGATTTTTATATTAAACTGAAGTTTAATAATTTATTAATCATCAAACATTACCCTGCAGACTAGTATTTATTATCTGTAGAAATCATATTAAGAAATCTTAACTGACATATTGTCATTACTTTTTGTTTATTTGTTTTTGCTTGCTCATGCATTTCTGTTGTTTTTTTTTACAATAATAAATTTTAGTAAGAAATACCAGTGCTTCAGGATCTTTAATTGTTTTCTCCAATACATTACCAGCTAAAAGCTGGTAAATTTTTTGGTAATTTTAATTAATATTATTATCTAGTTTATTTCTCACATATGTGTCAGAACCAGAAGGACTAAGCCCCCCCCCTCCTTTTCTGCAAAGATAGACATAACATAGGCACTGAACATTTGGGCGAAGGATAACAACAATCCCCTCCCCCCACCACCCCCACCCCCGGCCACTTTCAACAGACACATTGTATTGTATAGTAAAAGAAGGGTAAGTGGTAGTGTTTGAAAAAAAAATATATCCTGAAATAAATCCAACCCCAACCCCACCCACAACAAATATGTGTTGAAATCTTTTTTTAAACTTTACAAAGGGAAAGTTAAAAGTTAATTGTTTAAAAAAAAGTTGATTTACAGAATTCAAAGACTGTTTTATAAATCTAGGGTATATTTAATAAAACAATGCAAAACTAATTAATAGAAAATTCTACAATTTTACAAATAAGATCTCTTCTAATATCATTTAGCATTGCAAGGTTTGTTCTGGTAGGATGCGCATCCTATTTTTGACTGTAAAGTACTATCATATATAGCACAGCTAGGACTACTTTAGTAGCTTGTTGGCAAAGAGAAAGTCAAGAATTTGAATTACTTTTAAAAGAAATGCCGATAGAATAATTTTCATAAACACATGTAAACATTTCACTATCCTTCCAAAAAATTATAACATTTTTGTCTTTAATATTTGGGTCACTTAGTGCAGACAAATACGAAAAACATCAAAAATATTTTGAATATATTTAGCATCAATTATAAATTGCTTATCAGTTGACAGCTAGAAACTTAAAATCCATAATACATGCAGTTGATTATATTCCATAGGTTAAACTGTTCCAAATAGCAAACAAATCAATGAATTTGACCAATAAATTGAAGGATGAGAAAATTTTTGAAAAGAATAAAAATCATGATAAAATAATATATATTCTGAAAATTTTATGATGTGACAAAATAAATCAACTTATAAAACAAAAATAAAGAAAGAAAGAGGAAAAAGTGAGAAAAAAGAGTAAAAATTTTTGATCTGATAAAATCATATATATACTACAAAGTAACTTGTAATTTGTATGCAAGGTTGTTGCTTTGAAAGCCCTTGTCACAAAGATTACATAAGGGAAGTTTGAAAGTTGTAGCTCTAACTGTTCAAAAATTATTGCAAAGGTTTAAATTTTTTAAAAATTTTGTCAGGATTCAGGTCAAGGTCAAAGGGTCAAGGTTGTTGGTATCCAATGAAAGGTCTTTTCACAAGGATAACATATGTGAATTATGAAAGCCCTAGCCCTTACCATTCAAAACTAATGGACAAGGTTAAAGTTTTTTAAAAGTAGGTCATTTGTCAAGGTCAAAAGGTCAACATTGTTGGTATCCAAAAGTCACAAAGAATACATAGAAAGGAAAAAGTTATTGCCAAGGAAAAAATTGCAAGGTCAAGGTAAAAAATATCCTCAAAACTCATATTAAAATGCTTTTATAACACAGCTAGAGAAAATGCAAGGTTAAAGTTTGGAATTTTGGTATAAAAGTATGAAGGTCAAGGTCAAATTATATCTGTGAAATATATGTAGAAAAGTTAAAATTACTTCAGATGACAAACAAACAACAGATATGACAAAAACTATATACCCCTAAAACTACATTTACAGGGACATAAAAAATATCCTCAGAAACTCACAAATGCTTTTATGACACAGAGATAATAAAATGCAAAATACTAGTAAAGGAGCATAATTAAATCAATATGTTGAAAATAAAAAAAATACTTAAGATGCATTTCAAATAATATAAAGATGTGGCTAAAACATAAGAAAATGTAGCATAGAACAGAAAACTAGGGGGAGTGGCAGCATGCTAAAATAGAGGCTGAGCCACACCATCTCAAGCTTACCTGGTCTCGTTATTCAACAGACTAGAGAAGATACACAAAAAGTTATCTCTACAAACTAAGTTAAAAAGCTAATCAAAAAGTCATTTAGTGAGGAGAAGATGTTAATTTAAGATGATGAAAGTTGGTGTTGATGATGAATGGAATAGCATGACATGCCATGTTAAACTGCTGACTGCATGCTAAGAGTTGTGTAATGTTTTCATAGCTCATCTTAAAACTCTGTCACATACCTAAATTTTGTTGCTCACAAGACTTCTTTCAAATAGAGATTGTATGTTTATCAATTTAATGCTTGTTCATTACCCTTTTTTGGTAACTAAAGTTAGTTTTTTTTCTCCACAAAATCATAAAAATACCTCAGTGCTTTACAAATTCTACTTTTGCAACTTATCAGACATCATAGATATTAGTCTTATTTGACATTCCATGCTTACCAATTACCAAAAAAATTGGCATCTCTTTGCTAACAGATCTCACAACTTGAACTCAAGAGAACATCAACCAACTCAAACAGGACACTCTCACTGGTAACCCTGGTACATCTTACCAGGAACAATCAAAACTGCATACAAAAATCCACTTCCATAGAAATTCAACTTTTCAACAATGCTAGCAACTCATTAGAAATGACAGTCAATATCTCACATAGCTCATAAGAAAATATTCAACACCTCACTGCTACAAGTCAAGAGAAACACTCAGCATCTCTCTACTTAGCTCACCAGAAGCATTCTATATCTGCTTACAGCCAATCAAAAACATTCAGTATCTGCCTACAGTTCATCCAAAACTTTAATAAAGACTTCTTACTGTGAGTTCATCCAAAACATTTAATATTTGCTTAAAATTCAACCAAAACATTCAATATCTGCTTACATTTCATCCAACACTACAATACATGTATCTGCTTACTGTTCATCCAAAACATTTAATATCTGCTTAAAGTTAATCCAAAACATTCAATGTCTGCTTACAGTTCATCCAACACTATAATACATGTATCTGCTTACAGTTCATCCAAAACATTCAATATCTGCTTAAAATTCATTCAAAACATTCAGCATTTCAATATTCTTCTTAGAAAAATTAGCTTAACTCTGATTCAGAAGCAGAAGTTGAAACCATCAATGATCAGACAGCAACAGTTGTACAAATTTTTCGTTGAAAACCTCAAAAATAATTTTTGAAGCATATGTAAGGTTTCATAAGTCAACACCAATTGAAACAAATGAGGAAGAATATTTACTTAACTAGTAATCTAAAATCTTGGAAATCTCCAACTAAACTCCTTCAATTGTCTCTTAATTAGCATCAAAATCTACACATTTTATCAGAAAATAAACTTATCAATCCCTTCATCAAATTTCTTAAAAAATATTGGATGTTATGTGCTTTGAGAGTGACTACATGGGCATTATAAATTATAATTTTACACAGCATGTCAATGGATATACTGAACCAATTTCACGCAAATTAATTTTAAAGAAGATACTGTGCAACCAAGTTTCTTGAAAAGCAAGGTGTATCAGTAAAAATACAACTACATAAAAAAATTAAATAAGTAAAGTCATATTCTAAAATGCTACATTTTATGTTAAAGTTTTGTGTTATTACTGATCTGGGTGTATAAATAGCAGTGATGTCATACCTTGGTATCTTAAACAGAGCTCTCATAGGATGTAGGTCTGACAAGGGGGGTTCTCCATCGGCCAGCTCTATAGCAGTAATACCAAGGGACCAGATATCACAGCGAATGTCATAGTTATATTCCAACTGTCTCTCACAGGCTATGACCTGTAAAATTAAACATAACTGTAAAAGAAATAGTATCAAGTATAAAATGTATTTTAAAACTGTGTAAACAATCACCATACGAATTCCTTAAAAAATAGATATGAAAAGCAAAATATGTTCAAAATCTCTTGTGCAAAAAATGAAATAAATATTTAAATCCCCCCTCCCACCCCCCCCCCCAAAAAAAAAAAAAATCTTGCCAAATATCACAATTACAAAGGAATAGAAGAACTGTCACACAAAGTTGTGCCTCAATCTCAACATCAAGCTGAGAAAATCATGGAGGTAATTTGTGACATCATTATCACACATCTAACAATGGATTCTCCAAATGCTTTAAAAATCAGATACCTATCACACAGTTAAAAGCACTTTAAAATCAAGACACATTTAAAATCATGGTCAGTCGCACAAATTAGGTTCACTTTTTGCCGCAAAGAACTAACTCTATGTTTAAACTGAATTCACAAACTTATCAATTTACTCATTTAGAAAATATCAACTTTTTTTAACATTCAAAAATTTTTTCATCAATACATTCCTTATAATCAATGAAATTCATATCAATCTTACATACACAAGCTAAAGATCTGACAAATTCCTCTGAAACCAGGAAGAAATACTTCCAAGGAACAAACTCTGTTGTAATTCACAACATGCACCCTTCAGACTAAATAGTGTCAGTTGTTTTGACAATGAAAATGTCTTGATTGCCCGTTTACAACCTAAAATCACTTACACCTTCTGTAAAATAACTTATCGCAGTTAGGATCTTCACAGTAAAATGGATGACCACCTCCTCAGCCAATGAGGCATAGAGCTGTCTGGGTCTGATGACCTCATTCAGTGATGAACTCAAGCTAAAGTGATGGCTGCAGACAGATATCATTTACAAGAAATCAAGGACACCATTTTAAAGTAGCACCATCCGATCATAATGCCATTTCTAAAATATGCTCCTGACAGCACATAAATTATGATTTCCTTTTGGCAAGTCTGGTTATTGATTCATATATGCATTTATTTAAGCCATTAAAACCTTTACTGAGGTGAATTATAGCAAAAATGACATTTACAGTCAAACTTTGTTACACTCGAACCTGCAGCTGATGGGACTGAGAAAAAACTTCGAGTTATCCGAGGATTCGAGATATCGAAGGTAAAATACTTCAAGAATGTGGTTGGGACTTCCAAATTACTTTGACATATCCATGGTATTCGAGATACCGAGGTTCAACTGTACATGTACTTCAAGAATGTCACAAGGAGTATATTTCATTTATATTGCTCCAAAGCAGTATTTTTATAGATTTCTAATTTAATAAAACAACAACTTTTGAAAAGATATTCCAAAACAAGGTTTTATACATGTATTGTTCTTATTTTCACAAGGTAATATCTGTTTTATTCATCTTTCCACAATTCATATCTAGATATAAAGTAAAATTCGTTTAGTACGAACATGGATGTTGCAAATTCACAGACACAGCGAAGTTATCTTTGATCCCCAACTACACAAATTTATCAAATTCCTTATACGGATATAATGAATTACGGATATAGTGAAGCAGTTTTCCTGGTCCCAGTCACTTCGTTATAACCAAGTTTTACTGTATTTCACTTATGCAAAGACAGACAAGGACTCAATTTTAAAGTAATTAAACAAGAACTAAATAAACAATAAAAAAAGATTTTGGTTTAATAAAAAAATTCATACTGCACTGATTCTCATAATTCTGATATCTGATTCCCTCATATGCCAATTTCTCTTTCTTCAAAACACAAATTTCAATTCAAGATGGATTTTTACTGTGTATTAGTATGAGATTTTTCTTCTGAAATCCTGATCAATATCACTCATAACTCAAGGTCATTTACAAAAGATCTAAGTAAAAATCCAAAACATTCTTAGAAAACATAACAAAAAACAAAACCAATAATTTTCTTTTTCATGTTGCTACCCGGTAATTGAAAAGTGCATATTAAAGCTATACATGTATTTGATATCTTTTGCTTCGAAGAATATAGAACTAACTTGTTAAAAGACTGCCATAAACAAAATTATGTAGAATCAATCTTTTTTTTTTTAAATAAAACAATTGTTTTATCTATGGAATAAAACAACTGTGATTAGCATAATTAGGCCATAAAAACAAATCTAGAGTGACCTTGAAAGGGTTTGGAGCTCAGAACACACAACCCCACCTCTGGGATTTTTCTCTATGCAAAAGTCACAAATACCAGGTATGATCTTGGACTCCCATCCCCCATCCCATCCCACCAGGAAACAAGAACCTCTAGCTTTTAAAATACCAGGTAGTAACTTTATTTTTGTTTGTCAAAATAGAAGTGGACCCCCCCCCCACATGAGCCTGTAACTGCAAATTTGTAATATGTCACTGAGATGGGATACCCAGTATATATAAAATCTTGTCTTGTGCTTTATTCAACAGCTATGCAGTTAATGATTTTGATTTAAACCAAAACTAAACCATTAATTGCCATAATTTTTAAAAAGGAAGTACATATGTAGTATAAACTCACAAAAAACCTACTTGATATCTTGGTAATCCACTAGCTGGCTATCGATTCAATGAATCAAAACAATCTGATTTATTTTTTTGGTTCAAGATTTGAATGGGTGGGCTGACAGTGATAAATCTTCTAATAATCAGCTTATATAAGAGTTGACACAACAGAGAGATATAGCCTTTCTCTACTGAAATACGTTAAAAAGTGTTGAGGGTTTAAGTCTGTTAGACATCTGTTTCTTGGGGGGATTGTTATTTTTGATGATGTGTAAGTTTAGGTGAGTGTAAGTCGATCAGACATTGTTGTGGTTATCTCCATGTTGTTGTTTTTTATAATTATTTATGTGGCAATCTGTTTATGACGAGGTTTGCTATATAAAATCACATAATAACAATCACTCAATTTTTTTTCATGGAGGTATAATATAAATACCACATGCACATGTAAGAAACAATATGATTGAAGCACTTATCGTTAGACTTACATTGATCCCTTATGTTTTCTCAATGAATGAAATTATTATAATAAGCAAATTAATACACGACACGTAGCCTACATGTATAAAGTTTATCAATTAAAAATTCTACTTAAAAAAAATTTATTAATTAGTCAGAAAAAAACAAACATGTTTAGCTACCAGGCACATTGAGTATGGAGTATATTTAACGGAACGACTTTGACACCTTAGCTAGCAGGTATGCACTTCTACCTAGGCCATTGAATAGATTATGTTCCAGTTTTCAATCGGCATTTTTCTGTTGTGAACTCAAGACTGCTGTCCAGAGACTATGAATAATCTCATTTGAAACTTATAGATTAAAAATGTTAAATTATCCCAGAAATGAATTTTTTTGGCCTTTATGCGGCAACAATATATGACCTCAAATCATTTATAGTTGGGTTTTTGTATAACTGAATGAACTTATCATGGTAATGCAATTAACCAGTGTCTAATATGATTAATAGTCATTTCCCAGCTAATACACCACAATACTGTCATTCTGTTTATTCAAAAAATAATGAATTTGTTTATTGTTAATAAATAAAATTAAAAAACAGAAATCTTATAATCTTTTCTTTTAGTGGAATTTTACATCAAAAAAAAAAATCAAATATCAAATTGAATCCCATTTAAATTTAACCAAACTTAACCATTTTCTTACCTTTCAGATATCCATGATTCCTGAATTTCTCAATTCTATGTTACACTATATATTATAAATATAAGCAGCATACAGTGTTCATTATAGAGCCCTGTCTATAGATGACGTGCACTATTGACACATTAGCTCCAGTACATGTACACAGAGGATTGAGAAACCAAATCAACATTCAATCACTTCAGGCAGATAAATATGCAAATGAGGGAGAGTTTTAGAAAGTTAACCTTATATTTTTTACATAGATTTTCAACTCTGTTCAATTTAATGTTCATGATATATACATGTCATTGAATTCAATCTAATTTAAATGGCTATATTTATATCAAAAATTTTAGTACAGTTTTTTTTTATTTCTTTCCCTTCTCCAATTTTAATGAAAGATCTACAGGAATATGTGGACATGCAAAATGCAAGACCCCCCAAAATCTGACCCCCATCTATCCCTCATTCCTACTCTTTGCCTATGATACATGGAAACAGCTAGTGCATACAAAGTTTTCTTTCTTTGAAAATAATTTTGATACCTAAATTAACTGAAAATCTCTTCAAATATCTTATTACACCCATCTTTTATATTTTTTAAGGCCTAGAAAAAAAATACGTTTGTTTCCACTTTCAAGCAGAAAAAATATAGGGTAGGTACCGCGTAGGTAGGGAATTTTTTTTTTTTTTAAATTTTTTTTTCCTTCCTTAATCAAAACGTGTATAGAAGTAACGTTAATGACAAAAGAAATGGTGTTTTCAAGCATTTCTGTGACTTAAACTTATAATAGAAAGGTGACTCAAACTTCTTTTTGTCTTGAAAAGCTTAGTGCAAAGTTAGAGACTATAATTCCCTGGGTGAAATCTTGCACTTCATGGGACAAAAGCATTTTAAAAAAAATTAGGGTCGGCACTATAAATTAGGGTCGGTTGGGAAAGCGGAAACAAACATATTTTTTTTCTAGGCCTAAATTAAAATGCGAAATTATACAATCAACTTCTCCAATCACCAGAGTAACTGAAATTTTGACTGCCTATATGAAAATATGGAACCCATGGCAAAATTGATAACAGTGATTAACAGCTATTTCTTAGCCTTAACAGTAACAAGTTTCTAAATCTTCTCTGCACTGCTTTAAGGCATTGCTGGAGCTAGTCATTAGGCAATTATATGCTGTTAAGCAGTTCATAAGCAGATCAATACTTTGGAAAGTTTGAAAGTTTTTCTTTTTCTCAAAAATCAACTACGCATGACCAAAAGCAGTCATGTCAAATGGTACTTGGCCTTATCATATACATGTACCATGCCCAGTCAAAACACAAGATCTCTATTAAACAAAATGCTCTTTATAAACAAATACTTTCTACTGCTAATATTGACCTAAGTATTGCTATAAGATGGATCTTACCTCTGGGGCCATCCAATAGGGGGTACCTACAGATGTGTTCTTCCTGGCGAGGGTACTGGGTAGGTGTCCCGACACACCTGTCACAAACGAGAGGGGGGAAATGTTAAATCAGATCACACACTCCTTCAAAATGAAGCATAGCTCAAAGAAATTCATCAGCCTCTCCAAAAAGCTAAACCCAGTCTAGGTGCTTAATTAACTTCACTTTCTGTATTTGATTAAACCACACCATGAGATGTATAAGCTTCACTATAGGTATCAACATAACAAATGTTAAGAACTGTTTTATACATGTGTATAGAGCAGCATATATCAAAATGGATTAAGATCTGGTTATTGTGTGCAGCTTAAATTCTTCAAAAGATGAATTTTTAATGAAGTACATGCAGTAAGGAAATCAAATAGATTGTTTTAAATTCAAATGAATACATGTATTTATTTTATTTTTGGACATGATAAACTTTCCTCCTTATTCAGCTTAAATCTTATTTCATTCTATACACTTGGAAAGGTATCAATATCATATTACTTTCCAAGTCTCTTTTGAAAATAAGAGGCCTCTGAGCAACAGTGATGACCTTGGTCAGATTTTTTTTTCTAAATTTCACTCTAAGAATTTCAAAAAAGACTGTTTTTGTGGGTGGACTTTAAAAATCTATCCCCAAGAGAGGTATGATATAAAGTTGAATCCATACAGAATTGGGATGCTTCAATATCAATGTGGTCTCATGGGCCTGTTGTTCTGGAAAAGATTTTTTTCTGGAACATATACAATAGACATGTACATGCAGAAAATTGGATCTCTGAATTTGGCCAAATCCTAATCCTGCCAGTGTTTTGAAGTATAAAAATTATTCCACATACAGTAACCTTACCTTATTCACCATTAGCCTGATCTGAGCAAATTTGGAATTTTAGTTAACAGTAAACTGTGAATGCTTGCATATCAATATGGCTAAGTATGGCTTTGTTGTTCATTACAGGAAGAGTTTTCAAAATTTTCCTCTTTATTTCTATCTAAAACATTGATCTTTTATGGTCAACCTTATCCCCAGGGACCATGATTTGAACTTTAATCTGCGCTATGTGATAAAGCTTTCACAAAAGACTATTTTTTTCTGGCCAATTTGAAAAAATAATCTTCAGAAAATTATTTGAACTTTCACTAATTCTTCATTCTCTCTCCTTGAAAGAGGGCAGGCTTTTTTTTTTTTTTTACGAAGCTTGAACCCCCTTTATCCAAGAATATTTTGTGCTTTTTTGAATATTTCTGGAGGTGATATTGTGACATGTTTATGGTGACAACAACAGGTAACAGTCAAATTTGACCAGATACTCTCACTTATGCCTTTTCGTCAAGTGAGCTAATAAGGTTTTTATTTGAAGCTAGAGATTTAATCCACTGATTTTAGTACAGCATCTAATCATTATTTAATATGAGCATACCTAACATTTTATGCCTTAAAAGTGGAGCATTTTTATACCATTTATTACTGAAGACATATATAATCTCATCATTCATCAAGACAACATTGATTTAATGATTTTTTTTAATTTCTAGTATAATTGTTTTTTTTTTTATTTTTGACATATTAATAATGAACAATTTTAGCTTTCAATGAACTTAAAATGTACATATTTAAGGGTTTTTTTTCTGTTTCCCTTTCA